CAACCTAGATGAAGAACTCTATGGATTAATCCTAACAGATAATTGATTTACTAGTTCATCTAAATCCCTAATGAGAATCCCTAAACCCAACAGGAAGATTACTCATACATGATTAATGAAACAGAAAACATGTTGAATAAATTGTAGAATAAGAAATTAAAAGAAGAAAAGAGATTAGAATAAATCTTCTCTCTAACAAGGTATTGAATCTCTGAAAAGTTGCTCTCTCCAATTATATTCCAAAGGGTTCAAGCACAGAGACTTACAGAAGCAAAAGACAAGATAATGAAATAGAAAAACCCTAAAAACTATAAATAAGGTCTCAAAAACGTGCAGGAACTAAAATTGCAAATAGGGAAGTCTTCTGGGTAAATTCTGCGGGCTTTAAAACTCCAAACCGTCGAGATTTCTTGCTGGGCCGCGTACGGTGTCGAGCGACACCAAGGGTGTCGGTCGACACTCATGCCTTGGTTCGAACCGGATTCGTTTCTTCAGCTCCAAATCCTCGGTTTATCTCCAGAATGATTCATTTTCTCCAATTTCGTCCCGAACATATAAAAACCTGAAAAGACTCAAAAAGACACTGGAAACAACAAAAAGACTCTAAAACTAACACGTAAATCACGGTTAAAACCAGTAAAATCCGTGTTATATCAAAATTCGTCGGAACATGTGCAGTGAATAAACACGTGTTCACCCACTTTTTACGACAAATTTTCTGATAAGTTTCCGACGAAAATAAATAGTCGGAATTTTTCCATGTTTTCCGAAAAAAAGTCAAAATTCCAACGAATCTATGGTCGTCGGAAATTTCTCTCTTTTACATTAAAAAATTGTTTTTTGGAATCTTGTGGGAAACCTGTCGGAAACTTTCCGACCAAACATTTCTTCGGAAATGTTCGTCGGAAATGGCTAGTCTCGGCTTTTAACCATATTTTTATCTTTGTTTTGAGTCTTTGGTTGAGCTAAAATGTGTTTGTAAATTTTTTTAATCTTTTCTTGAGTTTTAACATGTTTTGATTGATACGTAGAAAAAACAAAACATTAATTTTGGGATGCAAAACACGCATTTGGAGTTGTGCATCATGGAAGATTTTACACCGTTACATATTCCTCATATTTTGATATAAGCTAGGTGACGATCTTAGATAACAGTGAAATAAGACGTTATGGCCAATCTACTTAAGACATGTCAAGCTGCCGAGTAGATAAAGCTGATGCAGAAACTGATCGAGATAATCTGAGACCGATATGACCATATATACTTGGGACCGATCGGTCCACCTTCAAACGAGATTTTATAGTTTCCAAAACGATCCTAAACTGATCAAGACCTATTTCATTTATTATAAAATCCTGGTGGTCTATTCTATTCAGTTATGTACCGTCTTTTACCTAATGAGAGCTTTTGGGAGAGGATCTGAACCTTATTGGTATTTTGGAAAAGATATCTAAACCATAGCTCTTATTTATTTATTATGATTTCTTATTTTGCTCATATGTTTGAGTAGTTTCTTCATTGGGTATTAGGTTTCCAAGGGGATTTCATGATTTTTTGATGTTAGGTTGCTAGATTTGAAATTTTATCTATTGGTTCTTCATCTATGACTGTTCTCAATGCCTAATCTAGACTGATAATCTAGATTATGATCTTAGGTTTAATTCATCTGCACACCGAAAATATTCTTAAATTATTGTTTAAAAGATCATAGGTGAGGAAAGTGTAATTAGCCATCGAGAATTGAAGATAAGTCATTTTGTGAACAAATCAAACTTGAACATTTAGTGCTTGCTTGAATTCTTAAAATCAAACGAGAGTTATTAGTTTTTAGGGATTATTGCTTAGATACTTAATGGTACGAGAGTGGATCAACTTTATCTTAGTGATTTGAGTTCAAGAATAACACTTAATATGATCCTTGTTTAATTATCTCATTTATGCTTTCATAGAATCTTTGAGATTTCTGTCTTAGATTTCCTCGATTCTAACAAATTCATAGTGTAACTTTTGGTATTTATGGGTTCGATCTCTAAATGTTACATCGATATATCATTTGGTCATGGTAGTGTACGAATTGAGGTTTAATTGACCTTTGATCACTGCCATACTTGACCAAGCGATGGAGAAAATATCAGTGGCAAAAGGGAACTTAAACAGAGCATCAAGTTCCTATTTTTCTTGTTTCCATTTTAATTTTAGTGTTTTGCAGGTTGATATAACAACTCAGCACCCTCCATTTAAGGGCTTGATTGGTTCTCCCGCTAGCACCCGCCTAGCGGTTGTTAGCGGTCGGTTGCAGTTGTTAGCGGTCGGTACCAATCGTAGAAACCGTTCTATACCGTTTCAAACCGCTGGATTTCAAAAGCTCCTTCTCGCAAGCGTTTGCGGTTGCGGTTGGTCTAAAAAAGGAAAGAAACTAAAAAAGAAAAATGAACAAATTAAAATAAATATTATCATGTCTTATATATATTCAAGTTAATTCTAAAAAAAACAATAATGATCTAACTTTAATTTTCTAATAATAATAAAAAATTTCAATAAAAATTTATTTGAATAATTTTTAGTAATTATTCATGGTTTTTAATCATTAATCATGTTTAAAAATTTTATACTTTTTCATAATTATAGTTTTTGGTGTTTTTATATTTTTCATAATTATATATTAAATTTATTTTGGTAATTTTTGGTCTAACCGCTATCGTAACCGCTGATCAACCAGTCGTAAATCTCCCGCAAATGCACCCGTTTTTAACCGCTAAACCAGTCGATAAAAACGCTAAATAACGCTTGAAACAGCAACCGCCCGCTTCCGCAAACTCCCACAACCGCAACCGCAACCACTGCGTTTAAACCAGTCAAGCCCTAAATTACATCTCTTAGCGCAGAGACTCTACCTTGTGGAGGGGGTCTCATTAGTCATTAGTTTACAATTTTTGCTATTTTTTTTTTTTTTTTGTAACTTTGTCATATTATATAACCAGCCTCGTTTTCTTTGCACCTAGGATAGTTTCCTTTATTTTTGACTCGACCCTCGTAGATCAAAGGAAGATATAATAATAAGGTCCCTATGCAGCCAATGTATTGACCTTTTTCTTACCTAGATCAATAAAGTCGGAACTTTTTCAGAGAAATAAAACCAATAATGGTAAATCTCTTCAACACGGAAATGTTGTTTTCTTTTTAGTTTTAACATATATTAGATGAAAAATGATAAGTGTATGGTTAAATTTCAGTATATTAAAACCATTAGGGGTGTCATGGATCGTTCTCGACCCATTTTGACACTGTCACACTATGTTTTTGCTTCTTCTTTTTTGCAACCTTCAACAGAAAAAAAAAAAAACCTTTTATACATTGCCCACGGCCGTATTAGGGTTTGATTGGTTCTTCCGCTAGAATCCGTGTAGCGGTTGTTAGCGGTTATTAGCGGTTAGTACCAATCGTAGAAACTGTTCTATACCGCTTTACACCTTGAAATCGTTGGATTTCAAAGCTCATTCATGTAAGTGTTACGGTTGTGAGCGGTTGCGGTTAGTTTAAAAAAAGAAAGAAACTAAAAAAAATCAACAAATTAATTATATATTACCAATTCATAATATATATATATATATATATATATATATTTAATTATAAAAAATAATCATTATCTAACTTTAATTTTCCAATATTAATAACTATTTGTGTTTTACTATAAAATTTATTTGTTTAATATTTGAATAATTATTTAGTAGTTATTTATGTTTTTTAGTTATTACTCATGTTTAAAATTTTATACTTTTCATAAATATAGTTTTTGGTGTTTTTTTAGTTTTCACAATTATATATTACGTTTATTTTGGTTTAACCGCTATTGTACCTATTAATCAACCAGTCGTAAATCTTTCGCAAATACACCCGTTTTTAACCGCTAACCAGTCGGTCAAAATGCTAAATAACGCTTAAAACCGTAACCGTGCGCTTCTGCAAACTCCCACCGTCACAACCGCAACCGCTGCGTTTAAATCAGTCAAACCCTTAGTTAAACCGGACAATTCGGTGCTGGCACGCAAACCAATAATCAAACTCGATTCCGGTTATCTTTAATTCCTCTTCTTCTTCTTCTTCATCTTCTTCATGTGCCTTGAAGAACAAAAATTGAAAAAGCTCCATCTCCTCCAATGGCTGCGAAAGCTCCAGAGAAAATCACCAAACCCAAAGACAGAGATTTCCTAAACCATCTCGAAACATACCTCGCCAAAAGAGATGGAGTAGACAAACTCCTAAAGATCTCTCGTTACGCAACCAAAATCATCCTCGCATCATCTCTAATCCCAGAATCCAGATCCATAATCCCCCGTCTCAAAAGCTTCGAATCAAGCGTCGGAGTCAGTCGCAAAGCCTTCCGTCTCGGAAAATTCGTACAAGACATCAACGCTTTAAGATCATCACGATGGGATTCGAATCACGAGCTCGTATTACTCTTAATCGCGTACGGTGGTGAAGGATTATACTATTTCGTCGAACAATTCATTTGGTTAACGAAATCAGGATTGATCGATGCGAAACATTCGAAATGGCTTCAGAAGATCAGTGCTTGGGCTGAATTGGTTGGTTATGTTGGTAGTGTTTCGTTGAAGGTTAGGGATTTGAGGAAATTGAATGATGAAGAGAGGTGTGTTGCTTCGACGATTGAGATCTCGGTTTCGAGAGGGTTAGCTTGTGATGGAGATGATGAGAAGATGAAGATGATTAAGGAGAAGAAGACATTGAAGGTTTTATCGATTTTGCAGGATTTGGCTGATGGATTGATGACGGTTGCGGATATTCGGGATGGTAAGGGAGTGTTATCGGCTCCGAATGTGATTTCTTCTGCAGGTTTGTTTTCGGCTATTGTTAGTACTCATAAGAACTGGATCTCTTGTTGATCATGATGATGTTTATTGTTCGTTTTCGATCAATTATAGTATTGCTTATCGAATAAAGGTTTCATTTTTTCGATCAATTTCAACGAACAATGGGGTTTGAACTAAGAGAGCTAATTTAGATATAAACAGAGTTGATGCAATACAAGATTTTAAATGAGAAAAGATCCAAATTTGGAAGCAATACAAACAGAGAGAAGAAGAAGAATGGCTTATGAAAGCCTGTTAAAATGAAATAAGAAAGCAGAGAAACTGATGATGGCCCGGGAAATCTGTTTTCGAACTCCTCTTACAAAGATAGAAGAAAGATAAATCGGGGCGTGGTGGTGCTAAGAAAAGGAATGAGAAACAACGATTGTTTAGGTTGGAATATGTCTACCTTTCTTTCAAGGAACCGCTGTTAGATTTTGAGCGTTTCAGTTGCCATGGAGGTAAGCAGCCTCTGAGAGGTGATTGTAGGAACAATGATGATGTCGAAAGCTGTTTTTGTCTCATGGAGATGGAGGATAAACAGCTGAATGAGCTTCTAAGACTTCTCTTTTCGTTTTCTTCCTCTGGAATTTGTCCGTCTGGATCATGGCAAACCGCTGTTATCTTGAGGGACTCGGGAAGTATGCAGCTGCACACAGAACCTGCAGAAAAAGTAAATTAGTCTTTAAACAAGACTTCTTCAACAATTCTCAAATGCAGCAAACATCTGTTACCTATTTGTGCAAGCCGATTCACCCATTTTGGGATCTTTTTCCCGGTAAGCTTGTAGCAAACGTCCTGGCAGAAATGGTTGCAGTTCTTTACAATCAAGTGATACATATTCCCATAGTAACTGCACGCCATGTCCTCCATAAACTCTCTCACTTGTGTTGGGTTTAAATTTGTGGTTCCAATAAATATTGATTTCTTGAACTTGAAACCCGGGCATTGTCTTGGTTCCACCTCAAAAACACCACTGGTTGCATAATCATGGGCACCAAAAGCATATTCTACTCCATGAACTGTTAATTCAACACCAAATGTTCAGAGTTAGCTACCAAACTATGAGTACACCACAGACGCAAATCTTTCGAATATTTAGACCATATCAACAAGAAAACACAAGCGCCTAAAGCTTACCTTCTACGCCAGAGTGAAATATACCAAGGCCTGCCCAATAGATATATCCGTTAATAGGAGTCAAATCATAAACATTGAGATAGACTGGTGCACGGCCTGGACCATGGTTGTTTGACTTCAATTTCGAAAAGAAGCAAAACCGTGCAACTGATTTGCTTTTCAAATGTAGAGGTCCAAGAGATTTCCAACGTTTCTTCGACACAACTTTCATCTTTTCCCCAAACCCTGACCGAAATTCTAGCAGCGACTCTGACCAACCTGCCCATTCAGAAAATTCTTAAAATCTTAGACTCCCCATAAAGAACCAAATCACATAAGAAAAGTAGAAAACACATTTCGATCTCTTATTATCACATTAATCAAACAAATTTCAAATCAAAAATCTTACCTTTCTTCTGCTTAGGCTCTTCTTTTCCGTTCAACATTTGGATGCCTCAGTAGAGGTTATCCTGTATGTAAACATCATCAATCAATAAAAGATTCTGAAAGGTGCAAAAGCAAAGACCTCTGTGCCACATTATGTTTTCATAAAACTTAAGAGACTGAAATGAAAATAATTTCCTATTTTATTTTATCTTCTTATGCTAGTTGGCTGAAATACAACAACAGCTCAATTAAAAAAGTCAGCACCAATCTCTATTGGCCGGCTTCAATCAGTTATATACAAAAGCATAAATATTATAAAGCATGAATCTTAAAATAAGCAAAAATTGGTCTCATTTTTTTCATCTTAATATAAACAAGACCAAGTCATCTCAACATCTGTTTTGTGATCCTAGAAAAAAGTTGTTAAATCATTGTTAAACCAAATCAAATTAAAGTTACTTCCTCAAATATACAGAGATCAAAAGGAAAAAGTGTGGTCATGCTTTAGTGTTATAAAATCAAGTCTTGTTCACAAAGAGTTGCTACCATGTCAGATGCAATCATGAAGACCAATGTAGTTGAGTTATGTATTAAATAATGAGACATAGACAGGAGAAGATGATACAGATAGATTAAGTAAGAGCTTAGGAGACAAGTCAATGGTTCAACAACTCATTCCAACTAATTGAGTCTGACCAAAAAAGCAAAATGATTCCACATTAAGATGAATAGTGTTTCTAAGATCTAATAAACCAACAAACCTAATTAGTTCCCCAAAGTGCTAAATCTTGAAAAGTGGAGCTTACATTACTGAAATTGGAAGAATTGTGAACTTTTATTGCAAAATCAAATGTGACCCATTTAACACAGTCAATTTATAAACACATTTAAGGTACTACAGACACTAAAACCCCTAAGAGTTAGGAGACATTGATATGGTCTTGTTCTAGGGTTTATGTTCCAGATCTGCCAAAATTAGCTTAAGGAAAGCAATATAGACTAGAAAATAACCAAACCCTTGTTCAAAGATCTTGTTTTTTCCAATTTCTCCGACAAAACCTAACCGACAATTCCGACACAAAACAAAAAAACCCTAAATTTGTGTAATTCAGAGAGGAGTCTTCACTTAAATAAGATAATGTAAGAATTGAATACACCAAATTCAATTTTCAGCAGAGAAGAGTTTTGTGGGAATGTAACTTACGAAATTGAGATAGATTCATCATTACGCGTAGCAATAACTGTGAACCACCTGAGACTGAAACTTGGAAGATTTTTTTTTTTTTTGTAATAAGTTGAAAATCATTAGAAGAAGATGAGAGAGTGGGAGAGAGAGAGAAAGTGAAAAAAGAAGGAATTTGTTCGCTCTTTTCTCTCTCCCGTTGTGTCTTTGTCTCTTTCTTTTTTTTTTGGTTGCATGTTTTGTTTTTGTTTGTATTTTATCGTCTCTTACTGGTAACAGTACCAAAAAAGGCTTTTGGAGGGTTAAAATTTTGTTTCGCTACAAAACGCTTTAAATCAGTTTTGTATCACAGTATCACTAGTGCCTAGGTCTGGGCAAAAATATGGATCCACATAGAACTGAACTGAAATTGATGAGTTCGGTTCGGTTCCGGTTCTAGTGAAAATATTAATTGGATCTTGAATCAAATATTCATAGGTATCGGTTCGGTTCGGGTAAGAACCGATATCCATTCGGGTATCCGGATATCTGAAAAATATAGTCTATTAACCTATATTTATATAACCCAAAGTTTCAAACCCATCAAATCCTAAATTTAACTACACAAGCCCAATAGCCCACCATAAACCCATAAACCTAACTCAGAGTCTCTCTTAACCTCTTATATATTCCTCTCTGCGCTCATACCTAAAAATCCTACTTTGTTCTCTCTTTCTCAAAGACAAAGCAGACAAAAACTCTCTCTTGTGTTTTGTGGTATCTTTAAAATTTTGACCTAATAATTTCCAAGTTTCAACTATTTTTTGGATTTGTAATGGTATAATGACTAATATGCAGTGTTCTAAAAGCGGTCTAGGCGGTCGCCTAGGCCCGACTAGGCGCTAAGCTCTCATGCGACGCCTAGATAACCGTCTTGACCGCCTAAAATTACATACATCTTGTTTAATATATTTTTTTAATTCAATTAGAGTTTTATTTATATATGTAGTTATAAATATACTTATATTATTTAATAAAAATATAAATAAATGTTTTATCTAGTTTTTGTTTATAATTTCATAATTTTTAGTTTTATAGATATTTTATATAACTTTTATATATAATATCATATTTATAATGTTTTATGTTATAAACGTCTAAATCGTCTAAAAAATCGCCTAGGCCCCGATTAGGCGTTCTAGGCGCTAGGCACTGGGTCACCGTCCGCTTAGCGCCTAGCGCTTTCTTGAACACTGCTAATATGTGATGTTGTATTGCATACTTACATAATTGCATTTGAATTTTGCATTATGATTCTATTATTATTTTCGGTTCCAAAAATACCCAAAACAATTTGGTTCGTACTCGGTTCCAAAATTTATTATCCGAACCGAACCGAACCAAATAGGAACCGAACCGATTTTGATTTGGTTCCAATATGGTTCCTAAATCTCAGAACCAAAATACTAGGAACCGAATGGTTCGGTTCTAGAACTGAACCGAATACCGAAACGCCCAGGCCTACTAGTGCCCTATTGATCTGGGCATATAGGTACTCGACTCGGGTATGGATCTGAATATTTCGGGTTTTGAGATTTCGGTACTAAGCATAGAAATATCATTCGGGTATTTTAAAATTTTAATGTTGGTTCAAATAGTTGATTGGAGAACCGGCCTAGAACCATTATTTTTTGGATATTTCGAGTTCTGAAGTTTTTGAATAATAAATTTTGATCCGATCCTACCTTATTTAAAGGAATCATGAAAAAATCTGTTACGCAATTCTTTTACTTTGGTAAATAATAATTTTTAATTCGACTTTTGGAAGGACAATCGTTTCTCTTTTCTCATTTTTTTCTCTCCTAAAAAAGGTATATATATTTTTCATTTTTTTTTATTGTTTTTAGATTTTCATTGCATTACAAGTGTGAGTTTGTTCAGTGAAAGGCCGGCCCAATAGATTTTAATGCCTAAAGCAAAAAAATAAAAATTAAGCCCATTTAAAAAAAAATCGCAAAATTTCATGTTAGAGAATCAAACCTGTGACCTCACAAGCTTACCGAACGGAATTAACCACTGGGCTAAGGTACATTTACAAAAATTGATGCCCTTTAATAATAGATATATTTTTTGATGCCTAAAGCAAGGGCTTTACTTGCTTTAGGTCAGGGCCGGCTCTGAGTGAAACAATGGTGAGCTGCTGGCTTTCTTCATCGGCAGTGATTGGCGTAGATTATATGCATAGTGTTGCTTATGTGGCAAACATCACGGTGGTCTAGAGAAGTTTCCTGATAGTTCACCTTAGTCGAGGACGCCGAAAGTATCGTAGTGGAAGTTTTCACGGCTCAACTGCTCGTGATGGCTCATATGGTCTCGGCGGAAGACTTTATCAGATTTGTGGGTTTTGTTGCATGTCGAGGCGACCACCGGTAGATCTGCCCGGATCTGAAAAGATTCTAAATTTATATGATCAATTCACTGTGGAGAACTCCATCATCCAAATTAAACAAGTCCGCCTCAAAATTATATCAGACATTGTACCCAAATATAAAAAATAATCAAATTTTAGATAGAAATTAAAAATATGGATCATTTTCTATAAAAATTTAAGTTCCTTTTTTATCTAAAATAAATTTAAGAAAAAAAAAGTCCCAGTGTTTTTGCTTTTGCACCTTGAACACATGCCTTAAGCAGAGCCTGAAATCAAACTATTAAGTTTTGTGTGGAGAGCTAAGATGTCTCGATCCTTTAAATTATAGATGATCCACAGTTCCATCTTGTAAATAGAAGATCCATCATAAATTGCTAGTTTATTTTGGGCTTATTTCAATGCTCTATCAACTTTAATTCACACACAAAAATATTCTGGAGCCTTTATTTACCGAGAAGAGAGTCTACCACCACCTCAAGTTCAAAAGAAAACATTTGAAATCCTAACGGTAACCCCATTCTCAGAATCAACCCTAAAAGTCTTATAAATAATAAAATTAGACTGCAAGTTATTAAAACCTTTTTAACTAGATATCATTGAGAAACTTGACCTCTAGATGGATTCTTTCAAAAAGACGATTATGGTACAGTTTAGGAGATTCAACGTGAAATTCAGAATATTTTTGACTAGATAATGTTTGCAAAATTTTGATTTCGAAATAAATTTATATGGTTAGACCGACTATATAACGTTTATGTAAGATTGAATGTGGAATTTGATCAATTCGAATTCATGAATAGAAGAAACATTCCTGGAAAAAGTTAGTCTATCGATTTTTAATTTTTTTCCTCTTTCATCATAATCGTCCAATATCCTGAGTTTACCGAGAATAAAACTAGTTTTCGAGACATGTTAGTATCAACCATTTTTCTATGCAATGAACTACGTACGCTAAATTCTCCTTCAAAACTCAAATAATAAAATCAGTAAAACAAATAGATAAAACTTAATAGTTCTGAAAACTCAAAGAAACAAAATCATGAAGTAGGAAATATTTCAATTATGTAAGAGTAGACAAAAGAGAGGCATTGGAACCTTAATGGCGTGATTCAAGGAATTCATCGAATGTGGAGATTTTAATTCGAGAATATATTATTGGCCGTGAAAATTCATGTTGATCGGATCCGTTGACTATGTTAATAAGACGGTTGGCAATGATGTCAGTGTGTAGACTTGAAAAATCCAAAAGAAGTCGAGATGTTGAAGGAAATTTTAGTTGCATGGTCTAGTGAAATGAGAGAAAGGTCTTATTTAAGGTACGTTCATTACATGGACTGTATCGATTATATCTTAGATAAGATCTCAATTTTTTTTTTATCATTTCGCGCCTTACCATGTAACTAATACTTCCTTAAACATCACAACATATTTTGGATTCTTTAAGTCTACATCTACTCACACCAAACATTTTCGTTTGCTTGAAGGAGTTGTAATCACAACACTCGGCGATGAGTTTGCCAATGCTCTGAAAAGTGTAGTTTGGAGAGAGTGATAGAGAACGAGAACGAAGAGATTTGTGAAATGATTTTCTATATTTCCCAAATTATAAAAGGTTGTTACAACAGTGTATATATACAATCTACACTAAACCAAAGACTAAACCGTATACATGTATAGTAACTTAACCAGTACATTAAACCGGAATCATATATACATCTAATAGCCCCCCTCAAGCTTGAGCTTCATATATGTTAAGAACTCCAAGCTTGCTGTTGTTTTCTCGAAAAAGAGATGGATATAGAGGTTTAGTCAATATATCTGCAAGTTGATTATCAGTCCGCACAAACATCGTCTTATGAATCCCAGCTTCAATGCATTCACGAACTTTATGACAATCAAACTCTATATGCTTTGTCCTCTCATGGAAGACAGAGTTACTGGCAATGTGTAATGCAGCAACATTATCACAATAGAGATATGCAGGAGAACGAAAAGGAACCCTGAGGGCAGTGAGAAGATAACCTAGCCAAATCAACTCTTTGGTAGCCACACTCATAGCTCTATACTCAGCCTCAGCTGAACTCATGGAAACAACATCTTGTTTCTTTGAACGCCAAGAAACCAATGAATTACCAACAAAGATGGTAAAACCAGTCACACAACGCCTACTGTCAGGACAAGTACCCTAGTCAGAGTCAGAAAAGCCTCGCAAATCAAAAGTAGGATCAGCACCATAGAATAAACCCTATCCAATAGTTCCCTTCAAGTATCTCAAGATTTTATGAATAGCCTGAAGATGAATATTAGTTGGAGCAGAGGAGTAATGAGCCAATTTAGAGACTGCAAAGGTGATATATGGCCTGGTAATACATAAGTACTGCAGTTTACCAATCAGACGTCTATATTGTTTAGGATCAGCAAGAACTGTACCAGTATCTTGAGCAAGCTTCTGATTAGGCTCCATGGGAATAGAAGACGGCTTACAATCAGAAAAACCAGTTGACTCCAGTAAGTCCAAAATATACTTCCTCTGATTCAAAGAAATGCCCTCATCAGTTCTAGCAATTTCAATTCCCAGAAAAAACTTAGGTGGACCAAGATCTCGAAGCTGGAAAGCAGAGCTCAATTGTGTCTTCAACTCAGCTACAAGAGAATCACTGGTACTAGCAATGAGTATATCATCTACATAGACCAGAACCACCAGAAAATTACCATTAACTTCTTTAACAAAAAGAGTATGGTCTCCATGGCATTTGTCAAATCCAAAACCAACCAGAGTGCTTGAAAACTTTAAAAACCACTGGCGAGAAGCCTGTTTAAGACAATAAATGGATTTATGAAAACGACAAACTACATTAGGAGAGACCTCA